TAATTCATACAATGTTATTGAATAATTTTTAATAATAATAAACAATGTTTGAAAAGACAAAAAAAAGCGATTAAAAAAAAATAGTGATTTGATGCCAGTAGCCAGTGTCTAGCTATTATCACAATTAACTATTTGAAGAGTTGTTCCCAGATTTTTATTGTGTCACGGACATTGAATATTGTTTGAATAATGATATTAGCCCACTGTGCCCCAAATATACTAAATGAAGAAACATCTAGAACAATAAATATCTTGTTCAGTTTCCAGAGCTGAATGGGTTTAAAATTATTTGGTCATGCAATAGACCATTTTTATTTAGCTGTTTAGGGGTATACATAAATCTTCATATGACAGAGCCATATTAATAAAGATATATTTCTTGTATTATGTTTCAAAAAGTTTTGTTTCTACAGCATAGCTTTGAATATGGAATAATTTATACGATATTTTACACCCTTGGAACAATGATAACAATAACAAAATACAATCTTTTTTTAAATTCATTTTCAAAATGGAAAAACTACTCAATTAACAATGAAGGGCTGCATCATGCAATCAAGGTTAAAAGTGCAGAACATTCCATGCTGACGGTCAATGTAGTCTTAATGAACCAAAATAATGACCTAAAAGATTGCCATGAATATTTAAATGGTTAAATAACCTATTGATTGTTCTTGATCTAATATACTAATATTTAATACATATGTGTATGTTGTTAATTTAGGTGCTGGTCAACTATTGGAAGAATTGGTGGCAAACAGACTGTGAGCCTGAATAAAGATGGCTGTTTATCCACCGGAACAGTCCAGCATGAAATGATGCATGCGCTGGGATTTTTTCATGAGCAGAGTAGGAGTGACAGGGCTACTTATGTAGATATCATATGGGACAACATTAATCCAGGTAAGCAATTAACAAAGCAAAAAAAAGAGAAGAAGACAAGTTCAAATGGGCTGTGAGAGGATGTCAGGAGCCCTATTTAGCTTTCATCTTCTCACTCTGTGCACGATGGACTACCTTTGCTCTAACCAGTATATACCAAAAAAGATACAATGCTCTGCTTTAATAACCTACACAGTGTAATGTCATGCAATGTGCACATCACTTGTTCATTTTAAAGGACCACTCTAGGCACCCAGACCACTTCAGCTTAATGAAGTGGTCTTGGTGCCAGGTCCTTCTAGGGTTAACCCATTTTTTCATAATTATAGCAGTTTCAGAGAAACTGCTATAATTATGAATGGGTTAAGCCTTCCCCCTAATCCTCTAGTGGCTGTCTCATTGACGGCCACTAGAGGCGCTTGCGTGCTTCTCACTGTGATTTTCACAGTGAGAGCACGCAAGCGTCCATAGGAAAGCATTGTAAATGCTTTCCTATGCGACGGGCTGAATGCGCGCGCAGCTCTTGCCGCGCGTGCGCATTCAGCCGGCGGGGCGGATCGGAGGCGGAGAGGAATCAGAGAGCTCTCTGCCCAGCGCTGGAAAAAGGTAAGTTATTACCCCTTTCCAGAGCTGGGCGGGAGGGGGTCCCTGAGGGTGGGGGCACCCTCAGGGCACTATAGTGCCAGGAAAACGAGTATGTTTTCCTGGCACTATAGTGGTCCTTTAAGTGTCACAATGTACAAATGTTAAAACTTATAAAGGACCATTCCACACCACAAAAGCACTTCAGCTTGTCTAGTTCAACCCCAGTTTATAAAAGTGCAGATTTCTATGAGAAATCAGCACTTTTAAAAGTTAACTAGGGAGCACACCCCTGGCTGTCAATCTACTTTATTGTGCCTGCCTCCTCCCACAAAGACCTTAGCCCAGACAATGGGGGGAAAAAGGGGAGGGCTTGGCTTGCTAAGACTACAATCCGTATTATCTGCAGCCTTTGCAAGCTCTTATAATATATACCCACACTGAGTACTTGCATTAAAAATAATGTGATGTGTTAGAATTAATCATTTGTCTTTGTTTACATATAGTACTGCACTTCAGAATATGTAGGTGCTGTATATATGATTGTAATAATTGCATTTGTGTCTGTGTGTTTGTGTAAGGAGGCTGTATGCAGTAGTGCAAAGGTAGTGATGTTGTTTATGATGTGTGTCTAGGGAGGCTGCATGTGGTTTTGTATGGGTGGGGATGCTACTTTTGGGATTGTTTGCACATACTATGTGTGTCTTTGTGGGTTTGCGTGTGTGGATGGGGCTGTTGGCAGTGTAGTATGTGAGTGGAGATTGCTGGCTGTGTTACAGAGTGTGTGTGGATAGGGGCTGTTGCATGTGCATGGGATAAAGGCTGTAGCAGGCATGGGACTTGTATAGATAATACAGGTTCTACTGTGTAGGGTGATATAGGGGCTGCAGTGTGTGCTTGTGGGGAGATAGGGGCTGCTGTGTGTGCATTTGTGGAATGGGGCTGTAATGTGTGCAGGGGGGATTAGTGACTGTAGTGTGTGCAGAAAGGCATGGGAGAGAAGGGGTTGATGTGTGCATAGGGAGGGATAGAGGCTGTAGTGCATGTTGTAGCGGGGCGCTGGTTTAACATGGACTTTCTCTGCTGGTATTCCAAGAGTTGTTCAGGATCAAGTAAATTATCACAGGAAGAACAACATAAGTAGTAAATAAAATAATCCATGAATATCCCATCACCTTTCCTAATAACTGGACGACACACAGTATCAGGAGCAGAACTGATGTTTAATGACACATACTCTGCTTTTATGCAATTCTCCCATGCAAGGGAGACACCCACAGACAATTAGGCATTCTCCAGTCACTAACTGGTTACATCCCACACATCCCCTCTCCTTAGCCTGATAGATTTCACAATTAACTATACATTTGAAACATACATTTTTACCTGTTTTCTAGATGTACCCCAAGACTATGACTTACACCCATAAATTACATATCCCCTGGTAGCCGTGATCTGGGTGAGCAGCATACTCAAAAATCACCCAGATCGGTTTTGGAATTTCTTGGAGGTCTTCGTTTTACTGACCGCACAAGAGGTAGTAGCCGAAAAGAGTTCCATGGGTTTTGGCCATGTGGTCGGTCTCCGTTCGTACGTTGAAAATCCTGAAATAAGTCATTACAATGGGCTCTGCCTGGGTTCGTCTGATTCCCCTTGTTCATGTACATCTTTTCACCGAATGCCGACCCGTTCGTAAGTTTTCTCACGAACGGGTGGAAGTATGGATGTCTCTGCGGTGTCCGCGTGGTCAAGTGTCCAATTTGGGATCCAGACATTCGACGACCAAACACTGCTGGTGGGTTCATATGGCAAGATGGCTGCCGCCACGTGTTCGTATGCAGAACAGCGCCCCCCCCCCAAGGAATACATAGTGTGTTCGTGCGGTTATCAATCAGGAAAGTGTGAATAGCGATTGGGAGGTCAATTAGAGCCACGTTCCTCTCTGGGTTGGACTGGTTGTTCGGTAGTTTGTTTGTTTGTCGAACGGAAGTATTTAACATATTTGAAATTGGGTTTCTACCGAACAACCAGACGAATGCTTCAGCAGCCAACTTGTTACTTCTTTTCTCAAAAGTAACTTACTGTTGGAAATTGAACAAAATGCAACCATCAAAATTAAGGACAGTGGTTAGTATCCAAAGGCAATCCGCTACATTTACATAGAGGTATAGAGGCTGTCGTGGGTGCACAAGGTTCATAGGGACTGTAGTGTGTGAGGTGGGTGCAGGAAGCCATTGCGGCTGTAGTGGGCACAGAGAGGAATAGGGGCTGATAGGCAATTCAAGCTGGAGTACATGAGTTGGGTACACGGAGGAATAGGGGCTGTAGTGGGCACAGGGAAGGATAGGGGCTGGATGAATTAAACATTTATAGGCATGCATACATACATACCTGCTCAGTACTCTCTCTGCCGGGTTGCTCCTCTCTTCACAGACCTCACAGATCGTGAGCCCTTAGCAGAGAGGAGAGAAGAGGCAGGAAGTGAAGTCACTTACCATCCCCTACAGAGCTCCACACAGAAAAACATGGAGGAGACAAGGAAAAAAAACTGCAGGACTGCTGCCAGGTCTCACTCAGAGTGGCAGGTTCCTTACTCTTTAATAGGCTGCAGGGACAATCGCTGTAATATGTGAGGAATTATGACCAGACTATGACTTTTTAGCTGAGCCCCTGACTGACTCGGGCCCTTGGTCCATGACTGATTTGACCAAGTCACCCCTGGGTGAAGTGTTCCTTTAAAGAGACAATGTGCAAAACGCTCTTAAAATGCCAGTGTTCCACACAAGACTCATTTATGCTTAAAATATTATTTCAATCCACAAAATGATTTTCGCTGGAAAAGAACATATGTATAAAGTCAGGGACGTATTAGCCGCGAGGCAAACAAGGCATTTGCCTTGGGCGGCATTTTTCAGGGGGCGGCAAAAAACGCCGCCCCCCAAATGCCCAGGGCAGATGCCTTGTTAGCCTCGCGGCTAACTGACATCCCGGGCGGCCGGCGAGGGAGCACTTCCCATGAGCTGACTGCTCAGCTCCCTCGCGCACCGCAAAGTGAGGCTGGGAGCCGGAAGATGACGTCATCTTCCGGTTCCCAGCCTCACTCTGCAGCCGACGCGCGAGGGAGCTGAGCAGTCAGCTCATGGGAAGTGCTCCCTCGCCGCCGCCCGCCCGCCCTGCCAGCGCCGCCCGCCCTGCAGCCACTGGACCACCAGGGAGAGAGACCCCCCCCCCCAGCACTCCCAAAGGTAAGGAGGTTGGGGGGGGATTTAAATAAAAAAAAAAGTTAATGTGTGTGTGTGTTTGTGTCTGACTGTGTGTGTTTGTGAGTGTGTGTGTGTGTTTGTGTCTGTGTTTGTGTCTGTGTATGTGTCTGACTGTGTGTGTGTGTGTGTGTTTGTGTCTGACTGTGTTTGTGTCTGTGTATGTGTCTGACTGTGTTTGTGTGTGTTTGTGTCTGACTGTGTTTGTGTCTGTGTATGTGTCTGACTGTGTGTGTGTTTGTATCTGACTGTGTGTGTGTATGTGACTGTGTGTGTCTGTGTGTGTTTGTGTGTGTGTTTGTGTCTGACTGTGTGTGTCTGACTGTGTGTGTGTGTTTGTGTCTGACTGTGTATGTGTGTGTGTGTGTGTGTGTGTGTGTTTGTGTCTGACTGTGTCTGTGTATGTGTCTGACTGTGTGTGTGTGTGTGTTTGTGTATGTGTCTGACTGTGTGTGTTTGTGTATGTGTCTGACTGTGTGTGTGTGTGTTTGTGTATGTGTCTGACTGTGTGTGTGTGTATTTAGAAGGTGGGGCGGGGGGAAGGGTTGGGTGGGGGTGGCGCGGGGGGGAGGGGGGCGCCTGAGTTTTGTCCTGCCTAGGGCAGCACAAAACCAGGATACACCACTGTATAAAGTGCAAAATAAATGTAAATTAACTTAAAAATCCCCTAAATGCACATGTATCACTTATGTTCTCTACTTGCTCCGTCACATTCAGTGCAGCAGTATAAAAAGAGAAAGATACTGGGTGCAGGAGGGAGAGGGGGCACTTCTATTTAAAGCCAGGATCGCGTGGAAGGGGCTCTGGAACATGTGAGCTGTTTCTTTCAGGGGATTTTACATTTATTTTATTTGCACTATGTACATATGTTATTTTTGCAATGAGAACCATTTTGTGGATTGAAAGAATATTTGATGTTTGAGTGTTTGAAGAACTGGCATATTAAAGTATTTTTTTGCACATTGTCACTTTAAAAGTTAACATTTCACATTGTTATACTTTTTATTTATAAGTTGTGTGCACATTGTATGGAATGACACTGTGCAGGTTTTTTAAGTGCTCAGTACTGTAATTTTTGGTTTATATTAGATAATTTGCACTTGGTGTGTCAGGTGTCTGCTGTACAATTAAACTGTAAATAAGTTGTCCAAAGTTAGTGTTCGGAATTCCGAATCAACTGAAATGGCTCACCTATTGCACTGTTTGGTTAATTTGTGATTTGAGGATTACAGTCGTGCTCAAATGTTTGCATACCCTTGGAGAATTGGCAATATATGTACAATTTTTAAAGAAAACTTGAGTGAGCAAAAATATAGGATTCATATTCAACTGTAGTTTATAAAAGAATGGCACAATCGTAAAAAACAAAACATAGCAACAAATAAAAAAATGAATTGACCTCTGTTCAAAAGTCCGCATAAGTCTGCCCTTAGTTCTTAATACTGTGTATTGCCCCTTTATCATCAATGACAGTGTGCAGTCTTTTGTAATAGTTGTCTATGAGCTCCCTAATTCCTGCCAGTGGTATATTTTTGTAGCTGCCCATTCGTCTCAGCAAAACGCCTCCAGGTCATGCAAGGCTTTTGTCTTCTTGCAATGAACTGCAAGTTTGAGCGCTCCGCAGAGTGAATTGTTGATATTGTGGTCAGGAGACTGATGGCTATTCCAGAACCTTCACCTTTCTCTGCTGTAACAACTGGAGCTTTAATTTGGCCTTGTGCTTAGGGTCCAATAGCGTCCTATGCACGCTTTTGTGCAGAAGAATGCAAATTGTCTGCCAGTATCTTCTGATAACATGCTGCACTCATCTTGCACTCAATTTTCACAAGATCCCCCGTGCCATTAGAGCTCACACACTCCAAAAACATTAAACAGCCACCACCGTGCTTCACAGTGTGGATGGTATTTCACTATAGCATTTTTTGACCCTTCTCCAAAAATAGCACTTATGGTTGTGACCATAAAGCTCTATTATGGTCTCTTCACTCCAAATTATAGTGTGCCAGAAGCTGTGAGGCATGTCAAGGTGTCCGTCTGATGTTTCAATAGTGTTAGACACAAAAATGGAGGATCACAAATGCAGAATTAATAGGTAGTACTATACATTTAAGAAAAACAAAAAGAACTTTCAGTATGACTTCTTGAGAGGTTTCATTTGTTTCTTAATGAATCAAGCTGAAGATAATTTCATACTTCCTGTTTTAAAATGAAGGAAAAAATAAAAACTTTATGCAATTATCTTGTTTGCATTAAAAAGAAATAATAATAATGTCCTCACTTATACGAATAAAGATTTAGAATGATTTATAATTAGAGTTAATGAGTGGAACTTGGGAATTGATTATCCTTATATGCAGGTTGCAGCAATATTTAGATTAGATAGAAGTGATACTTAAGGTTTCTCTTGAACTTCCTGTAACGGTTGTAGAATTTGAAGGAATCAGCAAGATGTAGAATGATCCTGGTTTGGTTGAAGTTCATTAATACAGGAGTCCTTTCTGGTGTAAGCAGATACTGAAGAAAACGAGGTGAACGAGGGCTGGTAGAAGTCAAAGAGTTAGCTCAGCGTGGAGTCCAAGGTCGGATCAAAATAACTCAGCAATTTGAGTTTGGCGCGGCTTCCCTATAATGCAGGTGAGTGAAGCGTTATCGGCATGGGAGGAGTTTACTTCTGAACGCGGAAGTAACTTCGGGGGGGCCGAGTCACGGTAATTATATGACATCGGCAATATTGTAACCGGCTTTTTTGTGGCATTGGCACAGTAGAGGATTCTTTTTGGCAACTTGACCATGCAGCTCATTTTTGTTCAAGAAGCGTTGTATTGTGCTCCTTGAAACAACCACACCATCGTTTTCCAGATCAGCCTATATTTCTCCTGAGTTTACCCATTTGTTTTTCTTTGTATCCCGAACAATTATTCTGGCAGTTTTGGCTGAAATCTTTCTTGGTCTACATGACTTTGGCTTGGTATCAAGAAATCCCCAAATTTTCCACTTCTTAATATGTGAATGAACAGTACTGACTGGCATTTTCTTTGGATATCTTTATATGTCCTTTTCCATTGTTATAAAGTTCCATTACCTTGTTACTCAGGTCTTTTGACAGTTCTTTTCTGCTCCCCAGGGCTCAGTATCTAGACTGCTCAGTGCATCCGCCTGTGAGTTAACAAACCATTGACAATTTAACGCATTGACACAGACACCATATTGCAATTTAAAAAGCCACTGGTGTGGGAAATTAACCTTTAATTGCCATTTTATGTATAATAAATGTATATATTAATTAAAAAAATACACTTAGTATGACATTAGATGTCCTGATGAAAGTCCACAACGATGGACTGAACCGTTGACCTCTTGACAACCCGGCTAGATTAAAAGGTTTTTCATTTTTCTGCAACATAAAAGTCCTTGAGTGCTGGCTTTCTTTGAACTCTATATATATATTTGTGTAAGGGGCAAAATAGCCGTATATGGAGTAAGGATCCAGCATAAGCTTAGGATAGTGTAAAGGGAGCAAGTCGGTTGTGGTGTGCCGATACCGACGATACGGTAGGCCTGTAAATAAAGAGGGCCCACCAAGGAGTAAGAAAGTAAAGTAAATGGAAAGAAAAGAGAAAGTGTTGAAATGAGGAGTGGGTGGGAGGGTCATTCTGATGCTGACCTCAAGCGATATGAGTCAGGTAAGGGGTGTCCCTTATATAGGGGAGTGAATTAATTTAAGCCCCTCCCACAAATACAGGCAAAACTGCCTTAATACTTGTGTAAGGGGCAAAATAGCCGTATATGGAGTAAGGATCCAGCATAAGCTTAGGATAGTGTAAAGGGAGCAAGTCGGTTGTGGTGTGCCGATACCGACGATACGGTAGGCCTGTAAATAAAGAGGGCAAAAATGAATAATCAAAAGATTTAATACAGTCAACAAATATATACAAATTAACCAGACATTTCCTTAAATGCATTACAGTATTTAATTCCTGAAAGGATTTTGAAGGTAGGAATCTAGGACCGAAAGTGGGCACCATTTGTTGTGGGTAGGATAGTATGTTATCTCTACTGTTGGTGCATGTTGACTCATTTCGGAATGTGGTAGAGCCAATAGGTAATGATATATGTGTTTACGTACGTGGGATCGTTGAAGACAATGATCTGTCTGGGTGGTGGTGATGGTAGTGGATTCTCTGGCCTGAGAAAGGCATAAAAGGCAATGTGCATGGCTGGTAATGGCCGACTTGGTAGTATAATTGAATGGTTGTAGATCTAATAGGTCCGATAAGGATGAACAGTTGGATAGCTATTGGTAATCTCTGAGAGGAACGTGGGGGAATGGATTCCTGAAAACCTCTGAGTATATTCTTTCCTGGTATGATAGCATGAAGTTTATGGTAGTTTTGGCCATAGGTTATCATGTGTTGTTGAATGCCTGTAAAATATATAATTAATGATGTATGAGATAGTTTAAGTTTAAGGTGGCAAAAATAAGCAAAACTTAGGAGAAATTTTGTGACACAGGTTGAGCTATGTCGTGTTCCAATGAGATTCTTTAAGCCAGGTGAAAAGCTGTGTTATGCATTCTACAAGTATGGGACGAAAGTGCTAGGTGGGATAGTGCATGCTATGCTGCATGAGTATGTCTAATCCATGATTTTGTCTCTGGAACGAAAGAGTGGACGTGACTGTATGGGCGGCTGTAGGAAGCGTATGATGAACATGCCTGGAATATAAATGAGACAGTTGTCGGCAGGGATGTATACCCCCGTCTGGTACATGAAAGTGAAATGTGATAAGTGGCCAACCAAGTGAGTTCCCCAGAAACATCATGAACTTATGGATGAGTAGTGGCGTTTGTTGATGATATGGTATGTGCTTAGTTGTCTGAGTAACAACGGATTGATGACCCTGACCATGATTTACCCCATGCCACAGCAGCTGCTACAATGGGGTAGATCTCCCAAAGGGGCTGAAGTGGTGGAAAAATTTCCAAACCTGGATGCCATGGCCAACAGCCCCAAAGCAATTGTTCCCGGTAGATCGCTGCCAAACCCGTGGTATACGCTGCGTCTGACCATCTGGTTGGAGAAGTGTCAGACAATCCTGGAAGGAACATGCTTTTACCATGCCAAGTGGTTAAGAAATCCCCCCCCCATGTGCAGGTCTGCTGTTGCTGAGGTGTCTAGGCACCTCCTCTGATCGTCATGTTGGAAGTGTGGAAAAAAGGGGAAAGTACTCTGGATGTGAAAGCATGGCAAAATTAAGGAACCTGGTAGGGATCGTAGTTCCTTGCAGTTGTAAGTACTAAGCAGGAGGTAGTGATTGATGTAGTTGAGAATGTTCCCTATTTGTCTTGTGGTAACTTGCGTGTATGGATGCCGACTCAAGTCATATGCCCAGTAATGTGAAGATAGTGTCTGGGCCTTCTGTTTCTTATGGGGTACTGGGACGCCCAAGTGGTCAACCAGACTAAGCTGCCGTGAGGCTTCTAGTGAAAAATATGCTTTCTTTGATTAACAAGAAGTCTTCTAGATAGTGTATGACTGTAAGGCCTCTGGATATGT